TAGATAACCCGCCAGTAATTGTGTTCGATAACGGGAAAACAGACAACATTAAAGTGTGGTCAGGTGATCATAATGTGCAGTTCTCCGAAAATGATTTTACAGCCGAACTGTTGAAAAGGTTGCACAGTAAGTACGTTCGCAAATTATTTGATGTTATATAAATCTTGTTGATACTTTTAGGAATAAATCAGCTAAAATGTACCGCATAAGGCATTGACCACTTAGCCGAGCAATACGGTTACTTCGTTTTACGATTACCACCCTAGCATCGCGTTTTTAATCCTATCGAACATATTTGGGGCATAGCGAAAAATTACTACAATCGACACATGGGTAGAGATGGACGAAGCATTGAAAATTGCATAAACATGTGACAAGAAACACTACAACGATAACTTCCGAAACGTGGCGCAATTCAGTTAAGGATACGGAAACTGTAACACGAGTGGTACGAAAGAGAAAAGCAATTAGATCTTGAAAACGTTGCTACTATTATTATAAACTTTGAACACGAAAGCAGTTCCGATGATTCCGATTAATTTGAATATCATCCATCACATCACATAACCTGTAAAATTTTATATTTAGTACTTTCTCTGTAAAAGAGATGCTACATTTGTACAGTTCATAAGTTATTAAAGTATATTGTATTGTATGTATATTGTGGTTCCAATTAACGAAATGAATAATAAAAATTATTTTTATTTTATTTAAGGTGTGGATTGTTCACACAAAGAATGCACTGTCTTGTTACGAACGGCTCGCGACAGTAATCACTTGGCTGCTACGCACATGCGCAGAACGGTTTATTTCTTTATTCACATTTCTAAATTTAAATTTAAAGTTTTGTGCATAATGGGAAGGTGTAATAAAACAGTAAATGTTCCCTCATTTGACCTTTTACGATCACATCTTGAAAAGGATCATCATGTTCGATCGTGTGCGTTCTGCGCATGTGCGTAGCAGCCAAGTGATTACTGTCGCGAGACGAACGGGTCTTGTTGACAAGTGACATAACCTAAATCGCTCAAAACTAGATTTGGCATTATTGCATAGTAATTACGTCACAGAAAATGATGACGTGCAACGGAAGTTATACGGAATAAAGTGTATATGCGTCTTTAAAAATCGAGTTTATATAAAACTGGAGACGGAAAACGTAAAATAAAGCAAATACAAGAAGCAAAGTGTAAACTAGTAACATGAAGCCGTGACAATTACAGGTGACACTGTCAAAACAGTATAATTAATAATTATAGCACGGAGTGTACCGCGTCGTTTTGAAGGTTTTCTATTGGCCAGTTTGGAATTTAGCTCCAATATGGCGACCGGAACCAACGACCAATCAAAAACGAGATACCCTGTTGTCGCCACTGTCTCTATAAAGTCACTGTAGGTTTACTGACGCAACCCAGAGACATCTAACCCCAGAACAAAAAACTTAGAAGGGAAACGTAAACGGGAACAACTGAGTACAAATGGAATTAGTTTGGAGAACATTCAATAGATGGCGCATAGTTAGCGTGCGTGTTAAAGTTACTAAATCTAGTGACTTTAGTACGTGTCGCCAATATGACAGTTGAATTTTGAATTTTGATTGACGGCTTATTGTGCTTTAAGTATAATTACTATTCATTATTTACAATGAATTATGCATATACAAATCGAAAACGTAAATGTTGTGTGACAAATTGTGAAGACGTTTCCCAAAAATGGAGCCCGATGTTTTTATAGAATTGGTTTAGAATATAATGTGGAAGAAATTTACACAAAAGTTTTTGGTTTGTGAACGTCATTTTTCTGGTTGCGCTTTAGAACCTGGAACACGAAGAGGTTTAAAGCGTGTGGCAGTTCGCACATCTTTAGCAGGTAACACTAATTGAATTGTAATAAATTGCTACATATTTTGTTTTTAGAACAATCTTGAGAGTATCATAAAGCAGAGTTCCATGAAGTTGATCTTGTATCTTGTATATCCATATTAAATTAAATATAACTCCTTGGTTGGATTAATTGGAGTTGTTACTTATAAAACAAGTGGTCTGTACCCTTTGAAGCCCCTGACTGCTGTGCATCGGCATTAAACTGAATTTATCTGGATCCCTATTAAACAAAATTGGACTTCACTGGCTGGATTCATTTACCTTTTAGGTTTCAGCTAGTCAAATCCAATGTTATTGTTACAGATCCGGAGAAATGCAGTATAATGCGGACGTAGCTTACATTTTAATATTTAAATTTGGCGCCATTCACGCAAAAGCTGCTGAGAACATACACGAGATGGCGCGTCATTTTTACATTACATTAGAGTTTCCATTCTAAGTTTGTTGTTCTATGCATCTAACGCAATCTTCATACACTACACTCTATTCGGCAGCAGCTCCGTAGGAAGAAACTAATATCTCAATCCAAATGAACAAAAGAAAATGCCAGTGACGTTGACGTTACAAAATAAACACTTAAACCTCGAAAAAAGCTCTCCTAAACACGAACACACGCTAAAATAACACCACTATAAACACAACATGACACAAAGGGTGTAAAAATGGCAGCGCCCATGAGGTCGCACCCTTTCTTGGATGCGCACTCGTCGATCACCGATCTCCCCTCTCCATGTCTCTGGAACTCAAGCAAGTATCTCCACTATCATACTCTATCGCTATTTAAATTAAAACCTATTTTCACGATCTATTTTCGGAACGAATAGGAAATCCGCAGGGAGGGTTTAACATTAGTTCACCAAGCGTCACGTCATCGAACAATAGAAGCTATAATTAATTGAACACTGGTTAAAACAGTGACTCAGATATTGCAATACCTCTATACTGGCCAAAGGGCTTTGTTTGGGATAAACGGCGATCCTTCTGAGGACGATTTTTGTAAGGGAGAATTTTTATAGGAACTAAATTTACTTAAGACCGAGTTTCTTAGGTGACAATTTTCAGTGGCCGGACGTTGTCGTATAAGGACCCATGGATCACATATGGACTTATCACTATCATTTTATAATTTCACGCGTTTCCATTTTTTTTATCTTAAATTGTAGGACCCTTATAATTTATTAGAATGGGTCCCTCATAATACAGTAAAACTTCCATTTGATGTTTACGGTGCATTTTATCAAACATTTATATAAGGAGCCCTCTAATTAATATTTCCTCTATTTAAGATGTTTGGCTTGGCCGATAATCGACTTTAACATGAATACCTGCTATTTGCATTTTCACATATACTTTTCGTGTTAAATTAATTTATGTTAAACTGAAGCGCCATTTTGATGTTTTCCTGTGTACATGCAATTTATCATTTTAGGAGTTGTTTTATCTTAATTGATCGTATACATGTGTTTTTGTACTAAACGATTTATCATGTTTACCACTCGCATTTATGCGATGTCTCATGTATTGTGCTTTTATGAATTTGTTGAACTGCATTTGATTCGACTACCTCATTTTTCTCGTACAATTTGAGGTGTTTGTATTTGTGCATTTTTCTCTTTTGCATTTTGTTGTAGTGATTGATGTCATGTATTTGTGTGGGATATGCCGGGGTTTTTGTCCCGTACAAGGTTTCCCTAGTATTGCCTTGTTGTGTGCGTAATATATCTATTTGTGCCGCGAAACGTTCCTGTCTTTCGACTTGAAAGTTGGATGCCTCCCTGCTCGTCGATTTTTTCTCCAGAGTTGACAACTGTAAGTATAGGGTAAGTCAGCATTTAAGCAATTAAAGCAATGCGCCCTGAATAATACTTTCTTTATACGCTATAACACAAAAACTTAACATACGTTATAGGTATTAGAAATACCAGTCTGGGTGACATTCTAGGTCAACGATCAGTATTTCTGGTAAGATGTAGAAATGCTAAACATTTAGGTACCTATAAAAAATTTGGCATCGATCTGATGGCCGCCCGCGTGGCAACTACAACGATTAGACGAACGGCGACAACGATGCCTAGTATCTTACTTGCTATGGAAGGATGCACTATGGCCATTTTATGCCTAATATACCTATACTGTGACATTTTTACAAACTGGAACACATTACTATACAGACTGGTGCACTTACTCTCTACGTACCTATACATCCTGTATATTGCAAATGTTTCTGGTTTCAGTTAAATCAGTGTGTGCAGCTATGTACATAATTAATGCTGCGCGCAAGTTGCTGATTATAAGTATACAGCATGTTCAACTGTAGCGTGACCATGAAACAATGTTTATCATTGAATTTATAACTATATAAATTTAATGTGTTTGTAGTGTACTTAACCCCCAGGTTCTACGCTAACTTCACACTACAAGAACACGGAAATAAAGTCAACCCGGCAACGTTTAAAACTGGCCACCCAGAATGATTATTCCCTCCAAAACTAAATTAGTTCCCGCTTAAATTGGAAAAGTGGCACGTGATCAAACAGGGCCCCCTTACATTAGTTGTTAACAACGCTTTGACCTGAAGCACAGTAGGGAAGGAACGTAAAATAAAACACTCAGATTGTGAAAAGTTTGTTTAATAGTGCTCGTTATTATTATGATTGTAAAAGCTCGGAAATTTAAGTTGAAATAAATTACATTACAAATATAAACTTTGAAAATGGTAGTTCACCGAATAAAAATAGAAATAGGCTGGGGAAAAAAGAACTTACCAATAAAAAAACCAGCCGTCAAATTAATATTAAATTCTGTAGTAAAATTAATTGTTTGCAACTGAAAAATATGAAAATTGAACAAGAATAAAGTCCAGGCTTTTATTTATGAGTAGGCGGGGTTTAACCAAGGGCACTATAGAATTTTGATAAATGGTCACTTTCGGAAACTCTGGGGAGGGGGCTTGCAGAACCTGTCTAGGTCATTTTCGAATATATGGTTCTCAAATTAACTGGTCTGGTCGGGATCATAGGGCGTAAGCATTTGACTTGTTGCACTATTGTAATTATTAATTAACAATGATTAATTAGCACAATAACTCCAATTCTTACAAGCACAAGCAGTATAGAATACAATTAAATTCCAATATTTATTTTTTTATGACCTAACACTACACAGGGTATACAAAAACTATTCATAAGATTTTTTATACTTTCACTACTGCTTTACCCAGATTTCTGCCTTCTAACATTTCACTGAAAGCTTTAGGCATGTTCTCAAATCCTTCAGTAATTGTTTCGACATATTTCAGTTTTCCTGCTCTTAGCCATTCCAAATGTTGATTTATGCTTTCAAGAATACGACTTCTGTATGGTATAACTTGAAAACCTTGCATTACCAACTGTTTTTGTAACATGTGCAGTTGAATGCAGGACACTGAAAGCTATAGTTATACTTTACAGTACCCACCTTATTTCCATACCTTTAGGGGGATCACTGATATCAGTATTATAGGAAGATATTGATCCACACACACAAATTCTTCCAAACATATTCATTTGTTTAATAACAGTGGTACTAATTTCACCAGCCACCTAAAATCCCAGTTTGATGAAAACCAAATTTAAGCATTTCTTACATTATCAAAATAACAATCTATTCCTTCTGGAGCTGCTCTCTTGAGTTGTTCTTCTAAATTATCACGTTTATAGTTCACATACGAGTCAAATCCAAAATTGTCTACGAGATACTGCCCTTTATCATCAGATCCAGTTATTCCTATAACTTCACAAGACTGCATTTTTGCAATTTGCCCAACGATACTACCAACCGCTCCAGCGGCTCCGCTGATCACAACAGTTTCTCCAGCCTTTGGCTTACAAATATCAAGAAATGAAAAATACGCTGTATTTCTAAAATGAGAAATGAAACCGAGCCAGCATTAGTTTGGGTACGTACCCTGGACTACCGAGCACACCCAAGCTGTACGACAACGGTAAATCTTCTAAATCTGGTAAGATGTATGGACTGCCAACACCGTCGGCCGAGCTAATTGTATGGGTTTGCCAATCGAATTGTGCGGCGACGTATTTTCCAACTGGAAAATCGTCACTTTTACTTTCAATAATTCTGCAAGCAAGCACAATTGTAAGGCGAGCAATAATAAAGTACACGTACTTGGCGACCTGATTTCCTACCATTGGAGTACCTTCACTCAGACGATAAGAGTACGCCCTCATATATGGATCGACGCTTAAATAGACAGCTTCTGCTAGAAATTCTGCACGAGGAGATGAATGCCATTACTGAATAATCAATAAATAACAATACCTCCATCCTTAAGATCCGGTAGTTCCTCTTCAACTATCTTAAAATCATCAGCATTGGGAGGGCCAACAAAGTGTTTTGCAAGTAAGAATTTACGCGCCACCACCATTTTTTGATATATATTTTTTTAGGGTAGTATAGATCAATAAACCACACACCGCTACTTTCTGTGATTACAAATCCGAAAGTTCAAGATATCTATCTAGACTTTAAGGTTAAGTCACCACCACTATAACATCTATGAAGATAGCTGTATATGAATCAGCTGGGAGCAAGCATTAAAACAGCATGTGCGTAGCACTCTTTTTTACAGTGGCGTAGTCGTAGAAAATGTCTAAGTCTTGATTCTGTGTGAGGCACCGCTTATATTATATACTTTCAAAATAGTATATTAAGATACAAGTGTATAATCAAGTCTTTAAAGCACGCGCAACGAGTTTAAGGGCACGACGCAAAGCGGAGTGCCTTTAACGTTGCAAGTGCTTAAAGACCAATTATGCACGTGTATCTTATAGTATTTTTTATTATACCTGCAGTATAATTTAAAAATAGGAAATACAATGAAATCATATTGACGTTATACTCGAATACATGTTTAATTAAGTGGGCTGGGTGTTCGTAATTTCACGATTGCCATGGAAATGTCACTTGACGTTTGCTTATAAAAATTATCGTCTTTGTGAATTAAACGATTTCCGTTGAAAAAGATAATACACCGTCCATTAAATCGATTGTTGTAAAATCTAAACAAACGTTGGTAGGTGTAAAATCCAACTCCAGTAAAGCCTATAATAAAGAATATGAAAAGTTGTTTCCATGGATGAATAGGAAGTTACTTACGAATACAGTCTTAAATGCATCCATAATGCTGGCATATATGAAGGAAATGTCAAAGGTATTTAAATATTCTATCTTTTGGTGCATTCATTCAAAACTTCGAACAATGCTGCGATTAAAAAGTAGAACAGATTTGGAAGCATACCCTAAATTATGCGCGTTTGTGAAAGCTTCAACCAAAGGATAGGTACAAAAGCCAAAGAAATGTTCTGCATTTACAGAAAGCGACTTAAGAGGATTTTTTATTTCATCCAGATGACAGTTTCAAAAGTCATACTTGAAGTATCGTTACTTAGCAACTTTAAAGCACGTGTGTTTTAAAGGCCTTTTTTCGCACGCATTTGAGTGTTTTAAACGGAGATTGTGATTCAGGTATAATAAATAGTTATTTATATAACAAGAGCGCGAAGTTCAATTTCGCGCATTGAGACTGAAGGTATTTTGACGAGGCGAAGCCGAGTTAAAATATCAGTCAAATGCGCGAAATAACTTCGCGCTAGCGTTATATACAATATTTTTTCTACAACTGAACAGATTGTTAATTAAATTTGCTGTTTAAGTTCAACTTTGTCCCGTGCGCGAAATACTTTTTTTCACTGTTGACGATTTCGCGCACGTTGTCAAGAGCAACCTTACTTATTAATTAACCGATTAAAAATCTAGTACTTCGCGTTTCGAAATCCGTCAGAAAATGACAGTTTTTTTTGACAGTTGTAGAAAAAAGTTATTTAAAGCAACAACATTCAAATTAACTAATATTACAGCCAGATCTTTATTTGGTTTAAGAAGTTGCCTAAAATTAGGCGCTTTTCATAAGGATTAGCATAGATTCTTTACACTAAGGGCACAGATAAAATTATTTTATTTATTTTATCTGTGCTAAGGGGTTAGTCATTTAAAGGTAGGCAGGAAAAAATAATACACGTAAATCCCTATGTATACTTTCTAATGAATCTCACTACATATTCCATACATATATCCACCCATTTATTTACAATAAGAAGCATCTGTGACAACATACCTAACACATAACTACAAAGATAAATTTTGCACCGTAAAAACACCGCGCAATAGTAGGTACCCGAATACCAACAGTTGAAAAGGCATCAATGGGTCTAATGCTTTCTTTCGTCACTTTCTAGACCATTTTCAAGGCTACAGAAAATGTCTAAAGCTTTGGAAATCGCCTACAACGTTCTCCACCAATTAAAAATACCTATGTACTAATTAGTTGTGAAAAAGAGTTTAGATCGATATTGTTGCCCGGAAGAACCAACAACCAATCTTAAGCATCATCACGTACTCACACATCATCGAAAGTATCAGATTTAAAACGGAGATCCGTATGACTTCGTGGACACCGTAAAACCCAGCAGGGCTATTTCCTGCGGTGCGAACTCCCACGTATGTCGACCAATCCTGCGAAAAAGAACTAAAAGATACTAATTAAATTATTATTGAGATGTCCAATTTCAAAAGTCAAACGACGAGTACCGTTGGCGTAAATAGAGACACTGTTTTTACAATACATTAACCTCGGAACAAAATGCAGTAACTTTAACTTTACAACATTCTTATATCAGCAACTTTTAAACAATAGTCTGTAAATGAATAAAGATTTGCTTTTGGTGCAGTTTGCGGTTCATACAGGTCCATTTGAAAAATGTAATGTCACTTTTGCATCTACCTTCATTTTTAAATTGGTGTAAATTTTGTGCTGTACCTAACAAAAGGTAATATACTTAGTGTTAATTGCAATTCTTCGCTTTATTGTAAATTGTATTGCTTTTAGCTGCTTGTAACTGAGGGTGGGTGACTTGCTTGAGATGCGGACCAGTTATTAATGTTCATGCGATGTTTAAACTCATTTGAATTGATTAGCGACTGCAATCTTTTGGTGTACGATTCTGCCTTTCTAGATTGTCTTTAATTATTTTCGCCCGTGCAGAGGTAAATGCTGAATTTACAAAATTGGCATTCATTTCGAAATAAAAATGTATTGTATCGAGGACCTTAGATAAATTCTTGGTTGAGAAGGTCCGGCTAACTAACAATGTATTTCATGTGCTATATAGGTAGGTGTAAGAGACTTCGTAATGTTTTACAATTTGTAAATAAAGATGGGGAGTTGCTTCTAAATCTATTTGAGTTGTCCACTCTTAAACTTATTCAATTTTGTAAATTAACAGGCCTGAGAACCATGCTTTTTGTTTTGAATGTACAGGGGGTATTCTGTCTAAACCTGTAGTTTTGGCATTTTTGATGCATTTTGCATTCAATAAACTGCCTCTTGCGTTTCAATAGTTGTGTTATCTGCATTCCAGCTGTCTGACAATTAGCTTGGATATGAATGAGTGCGACCTATTCTTTCTTCTTTCACGAAGTAGGAAATCCGGCCATTGCTGCGAGGTTTATGTTACTACGCTATAGCATAGTATAATACAGCAATATTATGGCTATAGTGTTCCGAGTTCGTTTTTTCCCCGCTTTTTAGCGCATTTCCACAAAAATAAAAAAAAATGCGCTATTGTGGCCACTTTGTCCGTCCGTCCGTCCGTCCGCTAACTTTGCGACGCTACTAGTTTTTTATCTTAAGAGCTATTGTTCTACTTTTTTCGCTATTTGGTTCGTTATGGTGTCGAGTCTTGTACCAAGGAAGGAATTTTTCTGTACCGCTTACAAAAAAAGTTATTGTAAAAAAAACAAAAAACCGTTTTTTACATGTTCCATAATTTTACATTTTTGCCGTTTATTAACGATCCTAGAGATCGTTTATAATTTTGCATTGCTATCTGTCGCCTGCCGGTTGGTCTCTCCGTCTGTTCCTTTGTCTGTCTGTCCATCTATCTGTCCGTGTGAACGATAACTTTGTTTAGAAAAGTTCGATCGCTTTTACATCTCCGTTAGTTATGAACTGAATTGCATGAAATTCAATATGGGCATAGATTTAGCCATATAATACGCAATGCCAAGAGTTGAATCGAATCGATTCAAAATTCACAGTGCCCTTTTCGCATCTCGACCATTTATAAACCGAATTGCAAACTTTTTTACTTATAAAAATATTTGAATGAAATTTGATACATAGGCACTTGGAATAAAGGAAAATCAAACGCCAATTTCAAAATTTGGTTTTGCGCATGCGCAGTGCCAACTTTTTAATTTATGGAAGAATTTAAACGAAATTTGATACATAGGCACTTGGGATAAAGGAAAATCAAACGCCAATTTCAAAATTTGGTTTTGCGCATGCGCAGTGCCCACTTTTTTATTTATGGAAGAATTTAAACGAAATTTATCCATAGGCACTTGGGATAAAGGAAAATCAAACGCCAATTTCAAAATTTGGTTTTGCGCATGCGCAGTGCCAACTTTTTTTATTTATGGAAGAATTTAAATGAAATGTGATACATAGGCACTTGGAATAAAGGAAAATCTAGCGCCAGTTTCAAAATTTTACTTTGCGCATGCGCCGTGCCAACTTTTTTATCTATGGAACTATTTAAGTGAAATTTGATACTTAGGCGCTTGGAACAAAGGAAAATCTTAGTTTATTAGTTAGTTATAGTAAATTAGTTTTAAAATTTAAGCTTGCGCATGCGCAGTTCCAACTTTCTTATTTAGAAAAGCATTGAAATGAAATTCTTCTCATAAACTGAAATTGAAGTAGCACGTCAACAATGGATTGCCCATGTGCAATGCTATCTTTCATATTTGTGGCCGGATTTTACGATTTTAACAGAAGTTGCATCTTACAAATGGGAAATGAATGCAAGTGGAAATGCGCTTTATGTAAATCGTTTACGATTACTTTTTAACTTGTTATTAGTGCGGGAGCTTTCGACTTCGGGTAGATCCTAGGGTACATCACATTACTTTGATCGCAAATTTGGGTAATTTTTCAGATTTGAGAGTTATTCTCTGGGAACTTGGCGATGACTACCACCGAGTTAGTCGTCGGAAAGTAAGGGCACTTACATCTATAGTGCTTACCAAAGATATGTATAAAAATGAACGATTTTATTTGATAAACCTTATAGGACACTTTTTGTTCTAAATTACCAATTAGTATGAATTTGAATGAGATTAATGGCACTCCAGTAGGGGTGGACAAGTGCATGTGCAATTAGCAACGTTTGGAGGAAGCACGGTGCGCCGGCTGTATTTTCTGTCGTACATGTAGCAGCAGCGACCTAAAACAGAATGTTAATCTCCAACCTAACGTCAAATGCACTCATACCGCTCCTGGGATGCGCGACACAATTACTCTCCGGCAATAGACTAGGATCAGCTGAAAAAGCGAAAGTACAGCGATAACAGGTTATGGGCCTGCGCATCTACTCACCGGTAACAAGTTCTATTTTACAAGTTCTTGGGCTGTACTTGACTCCCAATTTAGTTTCTAATAAGAAAGGCATGTTCATGTTGATCACGTCTTTGCATAGTCGCGTTTTTGCTAAAATCCTACGTATTGAAAGGTGAAACTGATCAACGGAACTTACGTTTATCAACTGGCCTACAGTTTTCTTCAACGAAACGGGACCTGCAAGGGAAATCGTCATACCAAAGCATGGAAAAAAGCGTACTTTACTTACATTTTTAATTTCGAATCATATCTACAGACGTACGAGCAGGTTTGAATGTTATTTAGATTAGGATAAGAGCCAGAAAGTACATGTCCAAGACGATAGTAGATATTGTTGTACATGCATCTGCTAGTATCTTCCATATAGCGGTCTATTAACGATATGCAGGTATACTTAGTGGGGCAATGCGACTTCTTGCCCCTGCACAAGACGCGGCACCCTCCATAATCGTAAATTGTGCGCAAGTTTTTGCAATGTGTACAATTTTTATCTGTAAAGAAGGGTAAGTGAATCATTTCACTATATAAAGTAGTATCAAATCATTTTAAGTTTAATACCGCTATACCCAATGTGCAACCGCTAAGCTTGTAATAAATAGGGGAGACATGTGCTCACCTGGTGTATTTTCGTCGTCGTTTTGATGGCCGCCTTCTTCCGAAGAATTGTTTTCTTTTGAATCCCCTTTGTCACCTAATGTACAAATTAAAGGAATAAGGAATTAGCACTGGAAATGTCAAATAAATCATTAGGTATACAGACCAGGTTTCTTTTGATCATCTTTTTCCTTTGAACCCCCTTTGTCCCCTAATGTAATAAAAGATAAAGAAATTAGTTTTGTTTGCTATATAAGCAAATCGAATTGTGTTTAGTGGCAGTTTCAACATTGATGTCGAAATGATAAATCTGTAAATAAAATCCGCACCCGTGCGGAGTAAATGATAAATATTACACATCAATCTATCTATAAACCGTTTTATGTTAGTTCTTGTAAATACTAATAATTAATTTTATATAAATAAACGTTTAAATAAATCACGTAATTACGTTGCAAACAATTAAAAAGGCAAAGAGGGTTGTGCTCACCTTGGCCTTCTTCAGAAGAATTACCCTTCTCACTTGAATCCTGTTTGTCACCTAATATAAAGTATAAGAGAACAAGAAGTTAGTACATAAAATATTAAGATATAAAACGTTATAGGTACTGACCAGGTTTCTTTTTATCATCTTTTTCTTTCGAGTCACCTTTGTTTCCTATTGTAATGAAAAAATTTATTTAGATATTTGCAATAAAGCTTTCGTTTACTTATTTACTGACTTTTAGACAGTGTTGTAAGTGTTGTTCCAGGTTGATATTTGAGCTGTTATAAATTATTCTGTTAATTGACCGTCTTAGATTTAAGTTTATCGTCGATAGTGGTAGTCTCTTGTAAATATTAATAATAATTTTGAAGATATTTCAGTTTCAATACAAACACACTTACAGTAAAAGGGCAAAGGGGATTGTGCTCACCTTTGTCTTCTTCAGAAGAATTACCCTTCTCACTTGAATCCCGTTTATCGCCTATGTAAAAAAAACAGAAATTAGTACATGAACTACCAAATAAAACATTATACTAACCATCAGGTTTCTTTTGATCATCCTTCTCTTTCGAATCACCTTTGCCTCCTATTGTAATAACAAAAATTGTGTAGATATGGTATAGATATAAAAGAATCATTTACTTCTACTGACTTTATGATATAGTGGACAGAGTGTTGTAAGCGTGTAAGTGTAAGTTTGAAAGCCAAAACGAGTTCGTGTCATCGAAGGATACGAAATAACCATTAAGTATAGCCACGGTATCGTATGTCATATTTTAGTGCCAAAGTTTAAAGTGCTCTTTAAATTTGTTACGAGTGCCCATTTTAAGTAAATTAACAGTAGGTGGCTGGTTTGTGTAGAAAGAGAACTTCACGCCGACTTTATATTCTACTGAAAATACAGTGCGAATAAGTTACTTTCTTAACACGTCCGTGAATTCTTTCAGGTTATTGCACAATCGGATTACAGTGCTCGTATCCAAATAAATTGTTACCACGAAAGCGTTAGGGTCCAAGGTGCAAAACATTTCGTTGCGCTATATTTGGAGTGGTCAGTTACGTTAAAAAACACTTTATTAATCAAAATTGTGCAGCTAATACAAGGTGTCAATAAAATTATAAATAAAACGGCAACTGATAAAAATGTTAAAGACAACTAATTCGTGCTTTTGTTGGCAATCAAAGTCAGTTATAATTAAAATTGTATTGTAAAAAAGGCGTTCCACCATCCAATTTTCCAAATTAGTGCTACTCGTCCAATGGAGAAGATCAACTGTCAATGGGAGAATATTCCAACTCATCGATAAATGTAAGTAATTTGAACTTTCTGGATTGTGTAAAAGCACGAGTCGATTTGTTTGGCTTTTGGATAAGAAATCGTCACTTGAAATCATTTTAACATTCCTAATGGACCGTTTTACATTTAGTTTATCGTCGACAGTGCAGGTAGTCTCTTGTAAATATTAATAATCAATTTTATATAAATAAACATTTAAAGAAATCACGTATTCAATTTACGTTGCAATACAAACACACGTACAAGATGGCAAAAAGGGTTGTGCTCACCTTTGTTTTCTTCAGAAGAATTACCCTTCTCACTTGAATCCCGTTTATCGCCTATGTTAAGAAAAAAACAGAAATTAGTACGTGAACCATCAAATAAAACATTATACTAACCTGGTTTCTTTTTATCATCCTTTTCTTTTAAACCGCCTTTGCCTCCTGTTGTAATAACAAAAATTATGTAGATATGGTATAGATATAAAAAATCATTTACTTCTTACTGACTTTATGATATAGTGGACAGAGTGTTGTAAGTGCATTTAGTAGTACAATGTAACATGTGGTTGCTTTAGGTTTTGAAGATTTAAATTCTACAAGTTTCCGGGATAGAAAATGTTATATAGGTACCGCTTCATATGGAAAGGGCACAGAACTTATATTCCAGAAAACAAAACACGTTAAGATAAGAAACGAATGTTCAAGCTGATAAGAGTCAAAACGCTACAATGTGGCCGGTTTTAAAATCCGTCACTACGGAGCATGAGAGGCATAGCTACTCTCCGCTATACTATACCCATGCAGAAAAAACTCATCCGAAGTCGGGATCTCTGGGGCAACAAATGTGGTCAGAAAGCGAAATTTTTCACAAAGTAGTCCACGTGAATCTCCGTAACTCAAGTGCTACATTTTTTACATAGCGTAACGTTTCTATTAATTTGAAAGCCAAAACGAGTTCGTGTCATCGAAGGATACGAAAGAATCATTCGCCGCAGTATCGTATGTTATATTTTAGTGCCAAAGTTGAAAGTAATTACTGAATTACTAGAGAAACTGTGCCACCATTTTGAAGAGTTTATTGACGTGAGTGTCTTCTAAATTTATTACACAAGTAGCCATTATAAGTAAATTAACAATAAGTAGCTTGGTTTGTGTGGAAAGAAAACTTTATTGCGCAGCGAAAACCAATGGACGGCGGATTTGTTCTACTGAAAATAATGTGTGAATAATTTGGGGTCATTGCATAATCGAATTAAAGGGTTCACATCTAAATATATTGTTACCACGAAAGGGTTAGGGTCCAAGGTGCAAAACATTTCGTTGTGCTATATTTGGAGTGGCAAGTTACCTTAAAAAACGGTTTATTAATTAAAGTTGTGCACCTAATTTGTTTATCCAAGGTGTTAATAAAATTATACATATAACGGCAACTGATAAAAAGGTTAAAGACAATTAATTCGTGCTTTTGTTGGCTATCAAAGTCAATTATAAGGGTAATTTTGGACGTTTCTGTACTACGGAATATTGGTAATCATTCCAGTCAATAAACCAAATTGGAACTAATAAATTGGAACCAGACGCGCGGTTGTGCCTGTTTCAAATTCGTTAATCATTTTGTTAGATTCACTTTCAACGAGTAACCAAATATTTTTTACTAGCCGATACAAAAGGTCCGAATGTGTTGTAAAAAAGGCGTTCAACCATCCAATTTTCCAAATTGCTGCTACCTTTCCAAAGGAGAAAATCAACTGTCAATGGGAGAATATTCCAACTCATCGATAAATGTAGTAAATTGAATTTTTTGTATTGTCTAAGAACAGGAGTTGATTTTTTTGGGCTTTTGTATAAGAAATCGACACTTGAAGTCATTTTAACGTTCCTAATGGACCTTTTTAGATTTAGTTTATCGTCGATAGTACAGGTAGTCTCTTGTAAATATTGATGATCAATTTTATATAAATAAACATTTAAAGCAATCACGTATTCAATTGACGTTGCAATACAAATACACTAGCAATAAAAGGGCAAAAGGGATTGTGCTCACCTTTGTCTTCTTCAGAAGAATTACCCTTTTCACTTGAATCCCGTTTATCGCCTAATGTAAAAAAATTGAAATTAATACATTAACTACCTATCAATTAATACATTATACAAACCAGGTTTCTTTTTATCATCCTTTTCTTTCGAATCAGCTTTGCTTCCTGTAATAACAAAAACTGTGTAGATATGGTATAGATATAAAAAAATCATTTACTTCTACTGACTTTATGATATAGTGGACAGAGTGTTGTAAGTGTATTTAGTAGTAGAATTGTAACACGTGGTCGTTTTCGGGTTTGTAGATTTAAATTCCACAAGTTTGTCGGTATAAAAAATTTTGTACAGGTACCGCTTCATATGGAAGAACTATTCGAGAAAATAAAGCACGTTAACATAAGAAATGAGTGGTCAAGCAGATAAGAGTCAAAACATTATGGAGCATGAGAAAGGTTGGTACTCATCTAGAAAAATCGCAGTCAAAGTTGGGTTCTTTGGGGGGTCGTTCGTTTTCAGATCGACGAATGGACTATGACAAATGCGGTGAGAGAGCGGCATTCTTCACCAAGCAGTCGAGGTGAATCTATGTAATTCATTACATAGCGTAACGTTTGTTAATTTGAAAGCCACAACAAAAAGAATCATTATAGCCACGGTATCGTTATATTTTAGTGCCAAAGTGTTTTCAAAAATTTGCTACGAGTTCCCAATTTAAGTAAATTAACAGTAGGTGGCTAGTTGGTATAGAAAAGAACTTCATTGCGCAGCGAAAACCAATAAACGTCGGATTTATATTCTACTGAAAATACAGTGCGAATAAGTTACTTTCTTAACACGTACGTGAATAATTTCGGGTCATTGCACAATCGGATTAAAGTGCTCGCATCTCAATAAATTGTATTACCACGCAAGCGTTGGGGTCCGAGGTACAAAACATTTCGCTGTGCTATTTTTTGGAGTGGCAAGATACATTAAAAAGAGTTGTGCAGCTAATTGGTTTATACAAGGGGTTAATAACATTATAAATAAATCGACAACTGATAAAAAGGTTAAAGACAATTAATTCGTGCTTTTGTTGGTTGTCAAAGTCAGTTATAAGAAATCGGCACTTACAGTCATTTTAACGTTCATAATAGTCCAGGAGGCAGCGATATTTTTTGTGCACTCATTTCTACAAAGCTGATATTCTGCCATTTTATTGTTTTGATAGTGCAAGTAAACAAAACTGTAATCTACCGCATCGGCGGTGTTGCCTAAATTTGCAACAATGTTCTGAACATGTTAATAAATAATATGTACATGCCTCATTTCTACAAGAATGAAAGTTTGTACAGAAAGATTTTTTTTCTTTATCTAATGATATACGAATTAGTTCATTTTCAGTTGTATTTCTCATTATTAACGATCTTCGAGATTGTATATAATTTTGAATTGCTGTCTGTTCGTCTGTCCGTGTGCACTATAAATCATAACTGAATAACTTTGTATAGAAACGTTCGATCGCTTTGAAAATTGAAACAGCTGTTCTTAAGGATATAAGAAAGGTTGCTATTGTTTTTCAGCTACGTAGACTAACGGGGCAAAAAATTACAGTCCAAATACTGCTCAAACCTCCAGAAAAGGGCTTCTTTATAATTCTTGTTACAAAGAACATGTGAATGCACGGTTTTCTGTGTTAGTAAATGTCTCTTAAGCCCCAGGTAACTATGCAGATGAATATAAAAAAATGAGCATGCGCAACCCAACCCAATTTGCGCAATCTCAATTTTCTTTATTTGTTAAGATATTTAATTGAAATTTAATATGTAGGCACCTCGAGTTAAAGTAAAACTAACGCCGAATCAAAAAATGGTTTTGCGCATGCGCAATCTTGTTTTTTTGTTAAGATTTTTAAGCGAAATTTTGTATCTAGGCACCTCGAATAAAAGTAAAACTAACTCCGTTTCAAACAATTTGTTTTACAAGCTATTCCGATCTGGTGGAACAGAATCAACCCCTTAAGGCGCGTTGTAACAATGATGGATGCGTGAAGATCTTGAAGATCGTTCGGTATTCAGTTGTATCGGATTTTTTTATCAAAAATTCGTTATTCGTTATTCAATTCGAAATGAATATCAGTTTATGACAACTGTCAATAATTGTTTTTGTAAAATTTATTCACTGAGGAAATAGTATATTGAAAGACAAGTGTTACAATGCGACCTATTGTAATACGACTATTTTGTGGCACGAGTGGCGTAGCGAAGCGGAGCCACGAGTGTCCACAAGATAGGAGTATTATAATAAAGCATTGTAACACGTGTTTTTCATACTATTTTTTCTATTTCCGGGCTTTAATTTAATTAAAAAGTAATTATGAAAAACTACAGGAAACTTTAGAATTAATATGTCTTAAGTTGGCAACACCATTTACGTTGACAAATTTTAAGTTGGCAGCGTAGATAAACACAACACTGACATTTGGAAACTTTAAATTCCGTGAATGTGTAATTTTTTATTCGTAGATAAATTTATTTATGGTGGATGTGTAAACTGCTGATTTGGAATGTATTAAGTTCTTCGTGTACCAAAAATCAAAGAAAACACATAAATTTTACGTAATTTGATTTCACATCTAATGATTTGACGTTGACGTCTTGGCGAACTGCCAACTTAGAGATGAAAAGTTACCAAAAACAATGTTACAATGGAACTCATTGAAACACTGTTTTTGCCGAAAACAGTTGCACAAAATTCTCATATATAATACCATAAGTAGTCGAAGTATTGTCGAATATTTTTGAGGTGCTGTCACGAATGCTAGTTACTCGCGAGTGGTATTAAAAAGCGTAACTAGCATGAGTGGAGCAGCAGCTCAAAAATAATCTACAAATACTTCGACTACGTATGGTATTCGGAGGACTATTCAATGAATCAAAAGAAAAATTAAGCATAATAAATTACCCACGCGAATGTATTTCCATGACAACAATAAACGTCAAAATAAATTATGGAAATTGCTTTTCATTTTGCTATTGATTCTATTCGAACTTTTGTGCTCCAAGCTAATTCGTTATGAGTGATTAAATTAAAAGATGTGGTGATAAGACGGTTGTCGAAATTGATTAACAAACTAAGAAGAATGTTCCCGTTAATACGACAAAATTTCGCGTCATTTCACTGGTGGAAGTTTGACAAATGTCATTGAATAATCGCATTGAATTGTCGCTGAAATACCACACGTGAAATTATCGCTGAAATACCACACGTGCAATTATCACTATAATTCGTTCCCATTGGCGCAGCAATTTGAAATCGAGACGTTTCACTGGTTGAAATGTGACAAATGTTAGATGAATTGAATAGTCATTGTAACACCGAAATAGAAAAAAGTATTTATAATAAACGACGGCGGAAATAACTGTACGCGATATTTGTTTTCCATCCATTTTAGTGAGCGTCCGACTCCGTCTGTGTCAATTCTTTAGAAAATGTTCATGGCTTAACATGATTTTGGTATTTGGAGATATTGCCGAATTTTGGATAAAATAATGAAAACTAAAAACATTAGTTATTTTAAATTTCCTATCAAAAACAAACCTCGAATGGCAACATATGGAAAATAAATGGTGGACATTCTGTTATTGGCGGGCTAGACGATGAAGAATTAAAATATAAAATCGTTTGTGAAAATCACTTTAATTCATGGGATATTTACAAAAACGGCAATCGAAAGTTATTGAGAATCAATTAAATTCCTTTGCCTTACTCAAAACAAGGTAACCATGTTATTTTTTGTCGTTAAAATGACTGATACATTTTTTCAAGATTTAAATTACAAAGAAGATGGCCCTTCTACCTCATACTGCAATCAAACGTTCAAAGAAACGAGAAGTACCTATTCCACCCAATTCAAACATGTTTGCGAAAACTCCATATTCAACCACAAATTCTACTTTATGTACAGAAATTTTGAAAATACCATCACCACAAAAATTACGTAGAAATAATAGGTATTACATTGTTGAAAAGTTGAAAACTTTGAGCAAAAACCTAAATACGAAAAACGTTCAAATTCATAGACTGAAATCTATAGCATCTCGCTTCTCAACAGGTTAGTCAATTATAGGCTATCATCACAAAAACGTTGATTTTGTGGTCGCTTTTGCGGCCATAAAGTTTCACTTTATTGTACGCTTCTGTCAAACTTTACTTTATTGTACACATCTGTCAAACTGTACCTAGGTACTTATTTGAAACTGATGTGTGAGAAACAGTAATCTGTTTGATACAAAGCGTCTATCTGGTCTAGCCCCATTAAGGATTGGGTCATCTACGTGCGTTTTTTTCATTTTCGGACTTGTAGGAATGTTTCACATTATTTTGCATAATCACAATGTTCACATTTAAAATTATAGTTTGACGTTTCAATCTTTGCTGCTTGCAGAACTTTTTGAAGTGTAGAACCAAAACATGAGGAAGATGTTATTGCTTACATTATTATACGAAGAATCACCAGCAATTAACCGAGAACACAAGTAGCTACCTATACCTACCATCAAAGTAGGTAATCAGGTTTCCAATAATTGTACAACATGTTAACTATAAGGTCTTGGAAGCTACAGTTACGAAGGACCTATTGCATTTGACATTATTAAAATCTTGTGCAACGGAGGAAGTTGCGATTGTACTTTTACTCTCAAACGCCTGCTCTTATATCATACGTATATGACTTAGGGTCGCAACGCTTACAGCTTCCAAAATTTCATTTGGGGTATCTGAACTGTCGCTATCACCCATTTTGATACGCACACACGCAAAGATGCTAATTATAATTACATACGACAGGAAATGCTTTGTTTTTTTAATTGTCTAAGATAACTATGATTTTCAGAAAAAATATGTTTATGAGCAAATTTTTGAATTCTTTTTTGATGATCGCCAAAAGTGATTTGTTAGGCCTCATCTGAATGAAACAGCAGCTTCGGCCAAAAAAGATCACTTTTACGGCCTTGGTCCACAATAGTTATTTGTGTACCAAGGCCGTAAAAGTGATCTTTTTTGGCCGAAGCTGCTGTTTGTGGCCGAGGCGGTAGCCGAGGCCGCAATTCAGATGAGGGCTAACAAATCACTTTTGGCCAAGGTGCACACAACATTTTTTAGGCGATCATCAAAAAAGAATTCAAAAATTTGCTCATAAACATATTTTTTCTGAAAATCATATAGTTATCTTAGACAATTAAAAACAAAGCAATTTCTG